TATATATAATTATATAATAAGCTTTAAATTTCTATTTAAAAAAACTCTAAAATATAAAATAAAGAAATATATATATAAGAATTTAAAATAGTTTTAATAATATAATAATTATATATTTAAATAAAAATTATAGCTTTATTTATTTTTATATATTAAATTAATATTTTTATTTTTATTATAAATGAAAAGCTAATTTAATAAGAAATAAGAAAAAATAAAGCTAAAATCTTAATTAATAATTTTAATAAAAATCTAATAACTAATAATATATTAATTTTTTATTATAAGCTTTTAATTTATAACTTATAACTTATAATTTAATATAAAAATATCCGCTTTATTAAAAATTATAAAATACTTATATATTATACTTATATATTATTTTTTCTTTTCTTATAACTTTTTTATTATTTAAATTTAATTTTTTTTATAAATATAAGAAGAAAAAATATAAAAAATAAAATAAAGTAATAAAATATAAAATATAATATAAAGTAATAATTGTAAATATAATTAATTTTGAAAATTAGCTTTTATAAAAAATTAATTAATATTTATTTTTAAAGCTTTATATATTTTTTATTATATTTTTTAATATTTTACTAAATATATAAAAGTATTAATTCTAATTAAGAAATATAATTTTATATAAATATTATTTAAATTTAAATTTAATTTTAATTATTATTAGTATAGCTATTTCTTTAGAAATTATATATATAATTACGGGATATAGGATACGAGATATAGGTAATAGAATATAAAATACGAGATATAGTTATATAACCTTATATCTTATAGGTAACTCGACTAGTAGACTAGACCTTATTAGGGTTAGTAGATTTAGAAATTATATATTAATACTATAATATTATAATCCTTACTTCTAAATAATAACTTTACTAACCTTATATAAATAGTATTTTATAACTATATAATAGTATTATATATTACTAGTAAACTAATAATTATATTTTAAATAAATAAATATATTTTAAAAGAAAATATATTAAAAATTTATATTATATTTTATATTATAGAATATTATTATATATAGTTTAATATATAGCTAGTATTTCTTTAATTTTATAAATATCTTTTAATTTTATTTAAGCTTTTTTAATTATAATATTACTTTATTATAATACTTTATAAAAAAGTTAAATATTAAGTTTTTAATATTTACAGCTTATAATTTATATATTTTAAAGTTTAATTTTTCTTTTTAATTTTTAATTTACTTGCTTTTTCTTTACTTTGTCTTCTTTTCTTATATCTCTTATTTCCTTTCTTTTAACCTTATACTTATATATATATATATATAAATTAAAAAAAGAAGAATAAATATTTTTAAGTAATAATAAAAGTATAAGAAAAGGGGGTATAATATATAGTATATAGGCGTTTGCGACTTTTGGTAGGGTAAGCACGTACCACCAGGCCTCACCGCCTTTGCTTATCAATCGAAATTGGGGACAGTCAGACTTTCAATTCGTACTATCCGGAGACAGTTCGCAGCATTAGTTGCTCGTCTTAACGCCATTATCAAGTTCGCCCCGGATACTAAACTGCCATTTATGGAGAGGAAGAAGTGTATCTATTAACGGCTCGGATACGATTACAATAGGGTCCTCCGATACTACAGGAGCTTGGGAAACGTTCTAATCTTACAATATGCTTGTAATAGGTCTATACGACAATACTTAGCAAAGCAAACCAAGCCCGTTACGCTTTCACTATAGCTTCACTGGATTAAACAGATTACGGCTTCGATTACCTTCGTCCATTCCCAAAATATATTATACAGGGATATCTCCTATAATAACGTCTTCCTCGATCAAAGTCTCGAAGCGAAATTGGGCGACTTTGCTGGCTCTTCAATTAATGGGCAAGACCCGCTTATCTGTTATGAGACCAGTTACAAACATCCTGAGATTAAAGGTATTTCGACGAGAAGTAAGCTCTTTACTCTTGGCTCTACCTTCTACAAGATAATAACGGGGTCTAAACCTTACAAGGAGCTTTCGGATTCAGAGATAAGTAACGCATATACCCAGGGGAGGTATCCAAGCCTGGTCTCTCTGGCTACATTCAAAGACATTATTGCTAAGTACTGGGCTCAAGACTATATAAGTATAGATAAATTACTAGAAGATGTAAAGGCTAAAGATATGAATTTCTATTACTGAGATATTTAGCACTAACAATTCCTAGTTACCGCCAAATCTATACTAGTCGCATGGATCCAACCATACATATTCATTCATACTCCCGCATTCCCAGTAGCCCTTACTCTCGTATACCTACTGCCTGTTCTATTCTGGGCAAGAAACCGCAAATAACAGAGTTACTTGTCCAATATCTAATACTATTAGCAAATATTAAAGCGCATTAATCTTGGAGATACATACCTTCACTTTTCAGGTAGATATTGGGGACAATCGCCGATCTTTTTGGATGACCCAGTTACTAATACTTCTCTATTAAAGCCTTTGGCCAGTATCGCATCAGTATAGTAGTGCCCGTTGGCTTTGGCTTTCGTATATTCATCCCAGCTTCGTCTTGGCTAGATATGACGAGGCTAAGCTCTACATTTACTATAGTAGAACGACTGGTCCATATAGTAATACATCTCCTAGTTAGGGATAGGTAAAGCTGAATTCAGGAAAAGGGTTTTCGTTTTAGTGGGCAAGAAATAGGGCGGTTAAGGTATTTATCGTTTCTGGATGATTTGAGCTCTAGTTTATACTTCAAAGATATTGACAAGACCTAGCGCTTTAGGCAATAACGCTGGTGGGGTCTGGTCCTATCAAACGCCGCTTTCTGTACAGCTGTCTTAATGTGCCAGTTCTTCAAGAGACATCGCCTAACCAGAAGCAGAAGAACCCCCACTTCGATCTATCCATGTATGAATGTTGTGCAACCATAAGAAGCCTCCAGGATGTTGAGATGGTGATCCATTCGGAAGTGGTTCCGCTTGGAGGAGTGCACTCGGCTCGGCCCTTCTTGCGCTCGTTCTCAGCCTATTTTTAGAATTGAAGGGTCCAAATCTGACTCCCCACTACTTGGATTCAAGGAGATCGATTCGGGCCCTCTACTAAGCAATCAAATCGGCTGAGGATCGTGGGTCGCAATCTATCCGTGAGCAAGACACCGTCCAAGGGGACCAACCCGCAGCTACGAGCCGCGGAGGCCGAGAAGCAAGCGCTGAGCGCCGCTATGTTCCTGGTGTTTACAGGAGGATGGAACCACCACCTGCTTCCTCTGCTTAGGATTCAGACGACGTACAATCTCGAGTTCCAGTTACCACCATCTCCATCTCCCCGTCCTTTCCAAAGCACCATAAATCAGGGCCGTGGCCGCAGGTCCTTCCCCGCGCCCCTCATTTCCTGTACCTCAGCTCGGACGTTCTTCGATCTTGAGCGTCTCCGCCTGTTCAATGGTGTTTGATCTGGCCCCCCTGCAGATTGAGACCTCGCACAACGTTCATTCTGGGATGACACGCCGAGTTTTTGACTTTTCTTTCCTTCCTGGTTTGTAGACTTGGCAGGCTTAGTGCGTGTGACATCTGGTTGCTTGTGTCGTCTGGAAACAACCCTTTTTCGTGGAGTCGGTCGAGGAATTTTCGGGGATAACCCCATCGACCCTATCCGTATCCATTCCATTGGAGGAAGCTCATCGGGAAAGAGGGTGCGGATGATCTGACGCGCCGATGGACGATCGTTGGGGCTGCTGGCGAGCATCGATGCAATAGGACGCTCACTTGCAAAGGTCTGGAGATGATGATGCCATAGCTGCCATGTAGGGGGCCTCTTTGCCGGGTCCGGAAATCCACCCAAAGCCTCAATAATAGTCGCACCAAGCCCATATATATCAAGTTCTGGTTTCTTGTCCCTCCCTGCCAAAACTCTGGAAAGGTTTAGAGAAAATGAGTCTGATTTATTTTTAATAATTATTTTGTATTTATATTAATAAGGAGGAAAGTTTTATGCATGAGAGTCGGGCGATCTGTGAAAGTCTTCTGGCTTAGATGCCCCATGCGTCTGTTGAGCGTGTTTGATTTGCTAAGAGAAGGAAGAATCTAACCCTCGTTTAGAAAAATAGATAAAATCAAACTGCGAGAAGAAACATTTAGAGGATCTGTGCCGTATCGTCTTGACTATCAAACAGTATGAATCGCTGCTGGATCGAACCCATTCCAACCCTCCCAAATCTCCCAAATTTTCCGCGTCCTGTAACAAACAGCACGTGATATTTCTGTTTCCCATCCTCTGCTCCAGTCTCTCTTCCGATTATAGCACACCGTACTTCTTCTGGTGGGACGTTCTCTAGTTGAGTATCAAAGTACAGATGCCCAACTTCGTTGTCCTCCTTGTCGTGTATAACGCCCTCGGGTTTGATCTTGCAATCTTGAAGCTCTTGAAGCCGTCTCACTCGAGCCTCCAAGACATAGCTATTATTCTCCAGGCCAATAGTCTCATCGCTCGCCTTGGCCTCCACAATTTGAACGCTGCTATCCCACTCAATGTCTCCGAGTGTCACGTTTTGCAAATACTGGATCTGCCCGTGATATACCATCCAAGACCACGATGGAGGCGCCTTACTAGCCGCGTAAATTATTTGCTTCAGGGGAATATTCTGAGGCCGTTGCCATAGGAGACTTCGGTGGAGGAAGAGTTCAAAGATCCCGTATCTGACATTGGTACGGAGAGCGTTGGCCAACGCCATGGCTAGTGAGTCGATCGCAACGGGCCTGTCTCTCTCCGTTGTAATGCCTAAGTTCGAGTAATCCGCAAAGAGAGATTGAAAAAGCTCGATTTGAGCAGATAGAGAACGATCCTTGACAGAACGAGGAAATTTTGGGTCACTTCGAAAAGACAATTCCGCGCTAATTTATTAGAAATTAGCAAGCTTATTAGTAAGTACACGGTTGATGAATGAAGAAAAGCGAATTATAAAGACGAAAAGCGGTGCTTTTAAACTGAGCCCTGGATGTGGACTTACTTCTTCATATAAGTAAGCGTTTCGAAACGCACCCCACCGCCACACTCCCAATATGTTTGCCTCTTCGTGAAATGGATCATTCGGCGTGACAAGGCTCGTTCCTATAACACCCATGCCCGCTTATTTAAGACCCCCTCTTCTACGTCGCTATGGAAATCGTCGATTGATGTGCAAACGTAGACTTTGCCGTGTGAGGAATTGGGCACTGTCACATATTGCGAATCTTTCTTTTCCAGCGCCCGGTTGAGAAATCCTTTGTTTGAGTCTTCAGCAGAGGTGGCAGCAATCGTATAATAAGCATTCTTGAAGACCGCTTCCATCTTCTTGGCTTCGGTTTCCCAGTCCCCGTTCTCGCCTTGAATAATACAAAGCGAATCGATCCAAAGGTATCGCTGGCCGAGTTTTCGAGTGACTTCAATTGCATCTTGAAATGTCTGCGGCAATTCTGTAATCAGGAATCCTTGCGCTCTCTTCTCCTTGTTGCTGGTAGTAGTACTCCAGTTCCAGTTCTTCCCCAGTTCTTTTGATGGCTCCTTCTGTTCTTTTGTTGTTTCCTCCTGTTTTCCTGGTGGCTTGCCCCAGCAATGGGATAGAGCAACGTAGTGTGCTCCTTGACTTATTTTGTCTTTGTCTCTCAAAAAGAGCATGGGGTAGCCATCTCCCACATCAATGACGCGGGTTGGCATTCGAGCTCTATCGGGCTTGGGACAGGGTCTACGGTCTTGCGAGCATTTGCCTTCGTCACAAAGTCGAATCCATTCCTTGATTAGCTTGAAATGGAGCTCGCTATCCTGTAGAAATCCGGGAAGACCGGGTTGGATTGAATTTGACCTTCTAGAGTCATCTTGGGGCTCTAAATAGTATCAGCTGTCTATTCCAGTACCTTTAACAAAGTGGAACAGTTTCACACACTTGGCACAGCACAGATCCTTACGTATTGCCGAGCTTCAAGAAGTGGCGTCTTGGGCTCCTTGTTCCTGGCCTCCTCGAGGGGTTTGAGGAGGAGTTGACAGAGATCACAACCGTCCTTTGGTTCATGTAACGAAGAGAGAGTGGCATTTAGGTCAATATTGCGACAGCGATCGCATAATTTTGAAGAGTCTTCATGACTAAATGGCGATTCTAACCAAACTTCTGCAACGTCGCACGGATAGATCCATTCGTTGCTAGCATTCTAGATTTATTCATCTATATTAGCATTATATATCACAGAAAGTATATAAGTTAACTCACAAACTAATAGAATAAAAACAAATACAGTTAGCCAGTTATATTATTAAGTTAATATAATAAATAATATATACTTCCTAAAATATAATATTAGCCACTCCCTTCTTTCCTTATTATCGGCAAAGCTATACTTACTAGCTATATCATCACAAAGACACCTACGGTTAGCCACTCCCTTCTCTCCCTATTATCGGTAAAGTTATACTTATATGCTATATCACCATAAAGACACCTGCGATCAGTCACTTCCTTCTCCCCCTATTATCGGCAAAGCTATACTTATACGCTATATCACCATAAAGACACCTGCGATCAGCCATTCCCTTCTCTCCTTATCGTCGGCACCGCAGCACTCACCTCCTATATTAATATTATTATTAGCAACAGATACCGTCCTAGATTATAGCACTCACTATAAAATATAAAGCATCGACCTCCCTGCTATCGGAAGTGTATGAAGATCTCGTCGCCATTAGAAGGCCTTAGTACTAGAGGTCGTAGACTCGCACGTCAGTAATATTATCCGCGAACCTGACAGGGATTCTCAAGCAACTGGCTTCACGTAGTTAAGAAGGGTAAAAGAAAGTGTAGTTTTTCGAAATTCATTAACGGACACCACGGTCTTATGCTCTTCGAGCTATCGTAACCTCCTAAACGCCCTTGAGCGGAGGTAGTGATTAATGGGACGAAGGTGATAGGAGTAGTTCTAGATTTAAATCCCGAAGGTGTACCTCCGTGCAAGTGCGGCCGTGGGCAATCCCGACACAAAGAGGTGGTTTTCATTGGTAGAGCTATGCTCACATGCCCATCGCATGTGAACGGATGCCTGTGTTGAGTGGCTGGGAACAGGCAGGCAGGCATGCTTCGTACGTTATCGTGCGCATGTTCCCCCACGGTCGACGAGTGTAAATTAGATTGGTTGCATGAAATGCGAGAGCGCCGTCAACATCGACTGGGGAAAGGCGGAACAGCTCGCTGCGGATGGTTAGTACCCAAGGGGCTAGAGCCTAATGCGTTTGAGAAGTGGTTATGAGACAAGACGGCATGCACATCAAAGGTGTCTTTGTGTATTGCCTCCTGCCTACTGGTCCGGAAGTGGGGCACTTCCCGGTGCAGCCACTTAGGTACAGGATCCTGACTCGGACTCCAACACTGCGTGTTCTCCCTCCAAAGTGTATGGCAGAGGTTGCAATTGAGGCGTCGAATTAGAGGACCTCCGCGGAGGATTCTTGGGACAGCGTGCTACCCTCTTGACGACAGCGTCTAACTCTAGCTCCCTGTGAGTCACTTGCGCAGTGGAGATTATGATGGACATACATATCTTCCGGACTCGAGTGTAGGTTCGAACTCGGCCGTTGCGCATACGCTGGGGGCGGGCCGTCAATTTGACCTGTTCTTGTCAGTGTGGGCTCCGATAAATTATCGATCGAAATTATCGATTAGTAATCGTTATCGGCTAAGCGATCGATAAACGATCGATATCGATAATTATCGTCGATAAAAGTGGGCCCAGCCATTAAACGAGCCCCATTACGGCTTTCTAGTTCAATTATAAACCGATTAGTATTAAGATTAGTATAAAAGTATACTATTATTACTATACTATTAGACTTTTTAACTTTTTATTTAATAGTCTATTATATAACATAGACTAGCTAGTATTTAATCCAGTTATTAATAATTCTATTAATAAAAGTGGGCCCAGCCAGCCCTTAAGCGAGCCCCATTACCTCGATAATTATTAATAAAAGTAGGCCCAGCCAGCCCTTAAGCGAGCCCTATTACCTCGATAATTATTAATAAAAGTGGGCCCAGCTAGCCATTAAGCGAGTCCTATTACATGAATATCTCGCTTTCTAGTTTAATTATAAACCGATTAGTATAAAGATTAGTATAAAAGTAGACTATTATAAATATACTATTATACTTTCTATTTAATAGTCTATTATATAATATAGACTAGCTAGTATTTAATATATAATACTAAGATTTATACTACTATTTCTTCCAAAAAAGATTAAAATTTTCATACTTTCTTTTATCCTCTCTTTAATATATAATAGTACTTTATCTTCTATTATTTAAATATGGCTTCTGAATCTGCCTTATTAATCTATTAAGCCTCTACTAATATAGACTCGACTCGATCCAAATCTGATTCTAAATAGGGAGAACTTACGAGAGCTATTTAGGCTTATACTTGTCTCGGGTATCCAGATACAGGAGAACTACCTAAATACTACTATTATCTTCCTTATAAAAAGGAAAATCTACTAAATATTTATTTGACTTCAGTCTTTACTAATTAATATAATTATCTCAAGTTAGTATATAATATTACTATTAAGAGCGGATCGGAAATTAGTCTACTTTAATTAAAAGTAATTAACTAGCTATAATAGCTTTACTTATAAGTAGAGTTATCTGGCTAAATAACTGAAATTAATATATATATCTTTTAATAATACCTTAATCGGGTAATAATTTATAAAGCTTTAATTTCATTAATTATTATCTATAATTTACCTTTTCGAGTAGTTAAATAGCCCGAATTTCATATCTTTTATTAAGTACTTAATCCAGAATCTCAGCCCTTTCTTTCTATAACTTACTCTTATATAAGAAAAAAGCTTGGGAAGTACTAGATTAGCTTAAAGGATATTATATAATAAAAACTCTAGTCTATAGTTTTAAGTATTTATCTCGCTCTTAATATCTGGACTTCTCTATAAGAATATCTTCTTTTAGGTATTATTATATATTTTATTAAATAACAAGATAAGAATCATGTAAAGGCCCTTCTAGCTCTTTATATAGTACCAGGTTATTTAGGAGAAAACTAATTTATGGTTTTATAACCTGTACTTTAAGACTATGGTATTACTAAATAACTTAGAGCTATTATTAGTAATAATACTAGTATAAATAGTATATTATATTAAGCTATTTAGGCTTATTTACTAAGGGAAGAAGGATTAGAATAGGATACTTTATAATAGCGGGTTTATTATTTAGGATATATTATTAATCTTTCTATATAAGCCTTTTTATTTCATAATATTTTTATAGATAGAGAAGTAGAGGCGCTTAATAAGTAAGAGAACTTGGGAGATTTGGAAGCCCTATTAAGTAATAAGGAAAAACAAATGAAATTTCGACTTTTGGGACTATTAGGCTAGCTTTATAATATTATTATATATATTCGTTACTTTCCTAGTCAGATTACTAGATTTAAAGCTCTTACTAGGAGAATAATTCCTCTTAATAATCGGATGTAATAGAATAGCTAGTATATAATATTTAATATTACTCTTTAGTAATATACTTATCTTAATACCTATTATAAGAAGTATTTTATAGATCTGAAATCAGATTACCTTAGTCCGGAAGACTAGGGAAGGCTTCGGATAATTTCTATCTTTCTTAAACCATTTTATAGAGCTATTCTTGAGACTTAAGGAAATACTATAATTATTAATTAGGTGCTTTTTATAATAGATGTTTTAATTCGAGTATTTAATAGATTACTAGTAAGTAATAATTTTTATACTAATTTTTATACTAATTTTTATACTAATCTTTATACTAATCTTTATTACTTAAATTAATAATACTAACTATAGTATAATAGAATATATATATAAATAATAAAGACTTTTATACTCGAATCCGGAAAGAGTAAGAGGTCTTTAATATATATTACCGCAAGTCTAATAATATGCCTCTTTATACTACTGCTCTTATACTTTATCCGAATTACTATATAAAGTATATTAGGGCTAATTAGGAGAAAAGATAGGTTTAGCCTACCTTAACTAAAGTTAAAAAGCTTTAGGAGAAATATTGAGATCAGATATTTATCCCTAATAGTTCGGTACTAGTTAAGGAGATTAAATAGCTAGTAGAGAGAGAACTAGATAATTTTAATAAGATTACTCAGATATTAGGGGAATATATATGACTAGCAAGTTAAGACAAATACGAGAATTATTATTAGAAGAAGCTATATAATATTAGGGACTTATCTATACTTTAATAGTAGTATTAAGATATATAAAGAAAGCGCTAGCCGAAGTTCTTATTTATAGTAATTAATATTCTCTTAATTCTAGTAATAAGTACTAAAGCAGAGCAAATCTTTTTAGGTACTTGCTATATAGTATTATGGAATAGGACCCAAATAATAGCTAAGACTTTAGAGATAGTAGAATACTTGAAGTATTAGAAAAGAAGTGGGATTTTGAGTATTTTTATTAATACTAGTAAGGGATAGTAAGATTAGTATAAAAATTAGTATAATTATAATTATTTTCTTTATAATTTATGACTACTAGTATCTTAAAGACATAGTGCCTAGCTAACTACTACTTTTATTAAAGAAGTTTCTCAAATATTATTAAGTAGCTATAGTATCTTCTATAACTCATAACTTAGAATTAGATAGGAAAACGTATTAGTATAAGCTATTCTTTGGCTCCTTTCTAGTATATACTAGTAGTATTACTACTTTGTAGCCTTTTCGAGATTTAGTAGAGAAGTGAAAGCTAATAGTATTTAACTTAGCCTCGGATTCTGGCTACTAAATAGTAGGACTAGGAAGGTTAATCTATTTATTATCTCCTTATACCTAACTAGCCAAGTTTCTCCAAATAGCCTTTTTGCCTGGTATAAAGAATTTAGCAGGACTAATAAGCGTAATATAGTTACTATATAATAATTAGTAATTAATATAAAGATAAGTAAAATCTATACCTGCTATATAATAATCTGATCTTATGAAATAAGGATCTCTTCTTCTTTTGCCAAGTTTCCTACTATACCGTAAACTCAATATGCTTGTATTTCTATTTTAGTTAGTTTTATACTAATCTTTATACTAATCCAAAAAGAGGTTATATATCTTGGCCAAAGCTCTTTATATACTATTAGCCTTTTCTTTTATTTTATTCTCTGGAACTCGCTTAATCTCTTTCTCTTAATTAAGCTTTTCCTTAGTCTTCTATATCTCTTTAAACTATATATTATTCTCGGAATTATATTTAATATCTTCTTATACCGGGTTACTATTATCCCAAGCTATATATGAGCTACTATACTTACTATAGCCAAGTAATTATTTAACTGCTTTCTAATCCTTTCCTTATTATTCTCTAAAGCCAGATTAGTATAAAGATTAGTATAGGAATATTCTGAAAATACCTCCTTAATTTAATACTCATAGTAGACTCCTGTACTATTTCCTATTATCTTAATAGTAAAGCACTTTTATATATTACCGAGCTTACTACCTTACGTTTTACTACTATAATTACACCTTAATCTGCTACCTTTGCCTTCTTAATCTTAGTACGAATAGAATCTTTTGCAAGAGCTTTATTATGCTTGTATGCTTTTATAATATTTGGGTTTTGAGACAGATCCGTTAGTGCTTTTCTCTTGCGAGTAATAGTACGGACAGATCCGATAGAAGAGGCTAGTTGAGATATTATATTAATATGGCTACTATCCTATAATATTATAATTAGTATAAAGATTAATATAATATAAGTATAGACTTACCTCAGGCTCTAGGGATAATTTAATAATAATTAGTAATATTTTGCAATTACTAATATATTTGGTATACTAATTATAGTTTATTACTATAGAACATACTATAAGGACGATCTATATAGAGATTAGTAGATTAATTAGTATATTAGAATACTAACTTATAGGTTATGGTATGAAGTTATATAGTAGTATAGTTAAGTTATTAAGAAGAGATTAAAAGGTAAGCGAGGTAAGGTAAAATAAAATTGACTTTATAATATAAAATAATTCACTTTTAAGGCATATGAAATTTTTTTTAAGCTATTACCTTACTCTTCCCTATTACTTTACCTTAGCTAATACCTTTCCTTTAACTATACTACTTTAATCCCTTAATTAATCCCTTAATTAACTCCTTTTATGGTATATCTCTTGATTTATATTAATTACTATACTAATCAAGATATAGTAATCGTAATCTCTAGTTAATTATTTAACTATGGTATGAACCAAGCAAACTAATGGCAAGCGTATTACTTCTAGGAAGGCTCTTATAGGCAAGGCTCCAAGAAAAACACTTGGCGGAAAAGGCCGTATTCCTGCTATTATATAAAAGAGAAAATATAGGTTTAGACCTGGCAGTTAGTTAATTAGTAAAAATATTAGTATATTTACTAACTGGATTTATAGCTAAGGCCCTTTAAGAAATCAGAAAATATTAGAGAAGTACTGATTTATTAATTCCAAAGGCATTATTTCATTAATTAGTAAAGGAGATTTTGGCTCAGGAAAGTGGATAAGATATACGTATCCAAGCTTCGGCTTTATATGCTTTGCAAGAGTTTGCGGAGGCGCTTCTTATTACGGAGTTTAAGTATAAGTCATTTTTCTTAATTATACTAATTTTTATACTAATCTAATTCTAGTAATAAACCTTGCAGCTATTCATATAAAGCGGATTACTATCCAGAAAAAGAATATAAAGCTAGTCTAATAAATGAGATTAGGAATAATGGGTATTAGCAAGGTTAGCGAATGCCTTATAGTAGTACTATAGGATAGTTAGTTTACTTGGGTTGCTAGCAAAGTAACCAGGTCAGGCGTTAGGGAATTAATCTTTATATCTAAGGCAAAATAGTTAGCTAGCTATTAGATTAATAAAGCAATAACTCAAATCATTACTTTTTTAATATATCTCAAATTAGTTATATTCTTTAAAGAACTAGTATAAAGATTAATTAATTAATTAATTAATTAGAACAGAGAGCAGGAGGGGCAGATTCTGCCGGGCCCCTCACCGCCTAGAACGATAATTATCGCCAATTATCGATAATTATCGATTATTGACAAATTAGTGCGATTATCTAATTATCGCTTATCGAGCTTATCGGAGCCCACACTGGTTCTTGTAAGGTCCCGAAAAGAAGAGGTGGCCAGTATTAGAAGCCTGTAGCTGCGTTGTCTCAAAGTCACGGCGTCCCAGAGCTGACTCAGGCTTGATCGCAAGGCGTGCAAGACAGCTAACCCAAAGGCGGACTGTGCGAACCGACGCTTTTTGTTGTACATCGCAGAATATGATCGCGATCTTTATCGATTGTTGAGGTACGGCGGATGGCTCGTAAGCCCGCCTAAGTGCGGGGTAATGCATCGATCTCCGTTTCTTGCGTAAGTGCTTAAAAGAGCTTGCCTAAGTTACCAATCTGGTCATCTTGTGGTAGCGGCTCTCGGGTGTGGCTAGCTAGTGAAGCTGGCCGCCCTATGGGTGAACCTTGAACTTTGAACGGCCAAGACACTTCCCTTGGTCTTCTATAAGCTTGATGGTTGCGGCATCTCTTCCTTTTGCTAAGTACTACAGGTGGAGCTTTTCCTGATTGCATTAGCCACGGAGGATGTGGGATGTCTAGGCAGAAACTTCGCATTATTGTAACGGCGTGGAATATTTCTGGTGATGCTGAAGTAAATGTTGACGAATGCGGTTGCCCCCCTCTCTCAGAGCGGGGGCAAATTGCGGCTGAGGTTTGAAATATCTGGCGAGAGTTACCGAGCACTTGCGTCGTGAAAATCATTAACCTCGCAAAACGATCACCACCAAAGTCATCCCCATAGATGCTATCATTATGCGAACAGGTCATTCCCATTAACTACCCGATAATATCATCAACTAGTCTAAACGCCATTGACACCACATACAACCCATACAATATGGTTTGGGACCAACCAATGTGGGGAAGTGCCATCACCACGCAGCATTTGCGGGACAGCATAAGCCGTAAGGTGGGAATCACATGGAGGCTTGTCTAGATTCCATCATAAACGGTTGACTCCTATACAGGTCTATAATTGTGGAATCAACACCACGTATTGCACAGGGCCGCCGGCTCAGTCGTCTTCCTTCCCTGCTCTATATTGCTCAATAGATCGCCTCGCAGCAATCACACGGCATTATTGAGCCAGCATATCCTCCACTAAATCGACGACCAGTAGACGTATTCGTTGCTCCGTACCCTTAACCCCTTCCTCGACCAGACGGCATTGTTGCGCTTGCAGATCCTCCAACAAATCGCCAAATAAGGCGTGAGTTTGATTGTCCGTGTCTTTGAAGCCCCAAGGACTCTGCATTTTTGGGAGTCTAGGAGCTCCCGCAGCGCAGAAATCATCTTGCGATTTTGGGTCTCTATTTTGTATATAATGGTCGTTGTTTTGCGTTGGTGGTTCCCCTGGGTCTGGGAGAGAATATCGAGGCTCTCTCCGATCGATGCCCGCAAGCGTTCACTGCTGAGATCCGTGGGCTATGTGAGCCTGCGTGATTCGAGGTCTATTCGGCGAGTCAACGCTAATTAGTTCAGTGTTTCCTATCCGTAGCAGGTGGAGCTCACGCGTGATTTCTCAGATGATCCGCCAAAGCCTCTCTTAGGCCTCCTCGTCCCTAATCTTCCGAGCGTGGGTTCATTCTGGTTCTGCTCGAGAGTTGCGCTCGAAGCTGTACTTGATGAAGTCGGCTCGGTGACACGAGTGCGGTTGCGGAGTTGGGACGGCATAAGGGAAGGTTTGTGTGGGGTCAAACTGCGGGTGGAAATGTTGAACTGATGGCAAGGATACGGCCGAGGTGGCTGGCAATATGGGGGGGAGGGCTCATATTTATAATAGTTGGGAAGGCGCACAGCCCACCATTTCGCTGAGAACCCCTCCCCTGAACGACGCTGTATGGAGCCTGATTGGGCAGACATGTTCCAATGGTGTTTACGAGAGCCGGTTCCTCCATCCCAATCGTACGAGGAGACCACGATGCAGGCATGGGGGTCAGACATGCATTATCGCATTCAGTACATATTACGATTCCTCGATATACTATTTCTCAAAAGCTATTGAAACACAGCAGAACGAAAGATAACCCATATTTGCAATCTGGTAGACTTTCCCGAGTCCATTTCAAACTCTATACATCCTTTACATTAGTACATAGCCTTATACCCCAGAAGTCGGCCGCTCTGATAAAGCCATCCAAGGACCTGATTCTAAGCTATGGCTTGACTTCTCGGGATCACTGGTAAGCTTAGCTGTATGAGGACGGCCGCGTTGGGAACCGAGGCCAACGTCGCCTTGACATGGAAAAGGTACAACGACCAGCAAGAGATCGGGCCTTTTGCAGAACTTCTCCGGCCTATTTCTGACTCCTTGACAGGCCATTTTTGATAGGCCGCCAAAATTGGAGCTGGGCCACTTTCCGTACCTGGCGATATCAAGCTCGTACATCTTTTTGAATTACTGCTCCGCGCAAATATTATTTAGACAGTTAGTTACAGTAATAGACAAGAATGCAATTTTGAAATGATGTCTATCGTCGCTTGGTCTGTATCCTATATCCTGTAGTATTATGCAAAGATGTAGACTCACCCCACTGCTTCTCACCAGAACTGAGCCCCAGCATAGTCTCTTAATTACGTTGCCAGGCCACCCATGCGGGGGCGGGGGTTGTCCAGACCTATTTGGCCTCGTCACGTCCAGGTCTGTGCGAGGTCTCGAGTTTACCTGAAAGTGATCGAAACCCAGTGGAACGAAATGACCCATATTTGCAATCTGGCGGACTCTCCGAGCTCATTTCAAACACTACACACCCTTCCCCTTAGAACACAGCTAATAATTAGTATCGACGAAATCTTTCCCATAAAACTCCCGGAAAAACTGATCATTCGCCTTTACAGCCTCCTTTGCGTATAGAAATCCTAGCTTGCACCCCTCATTCGCGAAAGCCTGAGCCGCGGATACGATATTTTTTATCTGAGAGGAACATTAGTAAGACGAAGGCTGGGGATTCGGAGGTAACCTACCTGCCGACCATTTAACTTATAGATAGCTAATTCATCTAGTTCCTTGCCTATAACGTCTGTATCTCCGGAAGTAGTAGTTGTCCAGGAAAGGAAGTTCCTCCAGACTTGCCCCCTCGCATATTTAATTAAGTCATTATACCTAAGTATAAGATGGATCCGGGAAAGAATTGCTTTATTAAATTTAGATACCCGGTTTATAATCAGGAAAATTATTCCCTGGCAGTATTCAAGTTTATAGAGGAATATAGAAACAAGGCTATTACGAGTAATATTATTAGGGGAATATTACTCGAGGAAGATATCTGCTTTATCTAGGAGAAGAATTATATTCTAATAGCTAGTAGTCTTAAAAATTCGAGAGAGTTACTCTTCTAGCTTTATTATATTAATAAATAACTCTTCTACTAAGATCTAGATAATTAAAGTAGCTTTAAAAGAATAGAAAATAAAAATATACTAAATAAAGAGGCTTTTTTAGGTATTTAGATACTACTTCTATAATTAAGGTTTTTCCAACTTTAGGAGAACTACTTTTCCGTATTAGTAAGCTAAGATAAATAAGTAATATAGGGCTATATTATAAGAGTATATTAATTCCCTTTCTCTTACTTATAATATAATTATTAAATCCAATATTCGGATTAAAATAAGCCTTTATAAGAATTATAATAATATCTTTTTATTTCTCGGAAATTAATAAATAATTAAATAGTAATAGTAACTATTTAATCTCTTTAATATTAGTAACGGGAAACTCAGCTATAAATTATATTATTAGAGTTATATAATAAATAGCTAGAATAATAATTAAAGAAATAGCTTAATAGTAATATTAATCTTACTAGTTTAAATTATCTTACCTATAATAATAAAGGAAATAACTACTAATTATAGATATAATTATTAGGATACTAAATATTATATACTAGATATTAGTAAATAAACCCTTATATTCTTATATTTACCTAATATATTATTTGAGATTAAATATAATCTAAATAAGAAATAGTAATTTCTTTATTTATATTAATATTCTAATTAGTAAAAACTAATTTATAGCCTAACTTATTATTATAGAAATAGTTTATATTAGAAATATATAAGTAATTAAAGCAGGATATATTTAGAAATAATTTAGCTAGTAATTATAAATTATCTAGAATAAAACTAAATATATTAGTAAAAAGAATATTATTTAAATATATTATTTTTGAGATAATACTTTTATATTTATTATTTAGAATAAGTTTTATATTTACTATTATATATTACTTTTTATTCTAATATATATAAAGCTTTAAGATCTTTTCTTAAATTAGTAATAAAAGTCTCAGATATTTATAATAGATTTACTAAAGCTTCTTATTTATCTTATAATATAGAATAAGTTAATTATATATAATAATAGTAATATAAGAAATAAATATAATAGTAAATACTTCGAGTTTCTTATCTAGTAAATAATAGATTTTAAAAACGGATTTAATACCTAGATATTAGATTTATTATTTATTAATTTCTATAAAATCTATATCTAGAAATAATATTTCTATAATTTCTAGATATCTCTAATATTATTTATATCTAGTTTAATAATAATCTTTAGTAAATTAACTTCTACTATAATAGTTATATATTTCTGAGCTATAGTAATATAAAGACTAAGAATAATAGCTTTAAGTTTATAATAATATAGAAATAAGTAATACTTTAAATCTATAAGCTTATAATAAAATAAAGAATTAAGATAAGTATATTCTTAATATTTATTTATAAATAATATAAATATAATAAACTATTAATAAATTAATTAATTTTTTTAGAAGCTTAATATTAGATATTTATTTTAATTATATAATAAAAAGTATTTAGAATATACTTTTATAATAAATTAATTTATTATAATAAAAAGTAATTATTCTTTATTATATAAGTATTAGTAATAGAAAAGTTATAGAAATGTTTTTATTTATAGAACTAGCTAGGTATCTAAAAAAATAATAAAACCTATAAAATAGTAAGTTCTTTTAGCTAATAATAATATAAATTAATATTTAACTAAAATAAAATTTCTTATAAAATATTTTATAAATATTAATAGCTAGTATTAATTTCTTTATCTAAAAAATATTACTAAAATAATTATAATTATTTTTATAGGAATATATTTAAGAATTATATAAATATAATAAACTAAAAATATGTTTAAGATTTTATTTATAAATATATAAAAAAAATCTATTAATAACTATAATTATAATTTTCGAATATATTTCGAAATCTATCTTAATATTTATTTTTATTATATCTTTCCTAAATTTATAAGCTTAAAATCATATTATTAATATCTAATATAATAGTCTCTAATTATAAATTATTAATTTATTAATAAAACTATTACTTTCTATTATTTTCTATTATTTTCTATAATACTAAAAATCTTATACTTTTCTTATAACTTTATAGCTAGCCTTATATTTGCTTCCGGAGCCGGCCTTATTACTTTTTCTATTACTAGCTATCTAATATATTAATATTACTAATACTTATTTAAATAATATAATAATATATTTAAATTATTTCTAGAGTCTAGTAAAAAAGAATATTATAGATCTCTTTTTATAAGTAACTATTTTTATTTCTTATTTTAAGTATTATTATATTTTTTTCTATTTTCTATTTAATATATTTTTATTTCTTTTTAAACTATAATAGTATTTAATATATCTTAAAATATATAATAATATTATAATAAATCGGAATTTTTATTAGTATTTTCTTATTTAGAAAGATATTTAATACTTTAGAATTAATTAGGAAATAAATTTATTTCGAGATTAATAGTAATTTAAACTTAAAATTATATATTATATTATTTCTAATTCTAATATATTTAAAAATATTTTAGAAAGGCTATTACTAATACTTAGTAATTAGTATTATATCTAATACTATAAATAAACTTTAAGAAATCTATAAAATCTAGTATTATTTATTAATAAAAGTTAATAAATATCTATAATTATCCTAAGATTATATTTTAATCTTAACTTTTATAATTAATAATAATAGAAAAAACTATTAGAAATAAAGAAATAAAGTTATAATATATATTAAATATAGCTTTTATTATTTTATAAATTATAAAATCTTATAATTTATATTATAGGTATTATAATTATTATTAGTATTTATAAAATAGTAAATATTATTACTAATCTTTATATATATATTATAATACTTTTATTTTAGTATTATAGGTTTACTTTCTAATACCGGATTAGCTAAAATAAAGAAATAAAAAACTTATAATATATAATAGTACTTATTACTAATTAGAATTATTAAATATTTAAGAAAAATCTTATATTATATTTTATTTAAAAAATAAGAAAAAGATACTATTTAAGATATATTTTATTAATAATTTATTTTTTAAGATTTCTAAAATAAAGTATTTATAAAATAACTAGTTATTTTTAAGCTTAGTAACTAATATAGAACTAAATAAGATTTTTAATTAATTTCTAATAATTTAGGTATAATTATTAAGACTAAATATATTAATTAGATACTCGAAAACTTTTCTATTTTTATATAAGCTAGAATATATTTTATAAACTCGGAAAATATTTATTTATAAAGCTAAGTTTTAAGAATATAATTTATAAAATATTAATATTTATATATTATTTTTATTAAATTAAAAATCTAACTTATTTAAATATTTCCCTTATATAAATTAGTATTAGATTATCTTTATCTAATATCTAAGAAACTACTAGACTTATATATTATATAATTAAAAATAATATTTATTATTTTTAGGTTATATAAATAATAAATCTTTAATAGCTTTCTTATTTTTAGGATTATCTAGATTAATAATTATAACTAGGTTCTATTAATTATTTATAACTAGCTATTTAAGCTTTTTTTATTACTATATTACTATAGCTTCCTTTTTTATTATTATTTTAGTCTTTTATTATTTTTATTTTTTAAAGTCCTAAGCTAGGGTATTATATTAATAAGTATCTTATAGCTTTTCTAATTTATTACTAGTAGTTTTACAAATATCTCGATTTCGAATCTTATTTTATAATATCTTAATTAAATAAAAACTTAGGAAAATAAATATATTAGCTAATAATAAATTTATTTATTATTTTTCTAAAGCTAATTCTAGTACTTTCTTTAGTTTAGTTATATTTTCTTTTATTTATCTATTATTACTACTATTAGAAAGCCTAGAGAGGAAATAAAATATAAACTTTACTAATATACTTTAAGAAATATTATTAATATTTTATAAGTTAGCTAATCTTATAATAGCTTTAAGAATTAGAAAAAAGTTTAGGATTAGATTTATATAAAAATAAAAAATATATTATATTATTTATAAGACCTAAATTCCGGAACTAATTATAAACCGGATATATTTATAAACTTTATTAGTATTAAGACAGATTCTAAAGTTATAAATATATTATATAGCCTTATATCCTATTTAATATATCTAGTATTAATATTAATATTACTAGAAATATCTTTAGTCTTATTTAGATTATTATTAAAAAGTATTAGTTTATTTAAATATAATTAGTAAATTATTTCTAAATATAAAAAATAATTAATATATTTATTTTAATTATTATTCTAATATTTATCTAATTCTAATTATATTTAGTTAATTTATAGTTTAGTTTAATAAAAAAAAGCTAGCTATTTTAGATACTAAAAAATAAATCCGGTATTTAAGACTTTAGTTAAGATTTTTAGATATAAAGTTATTTAAAACTATTTCTCGAGAAATAGAAAATTATTATTTAATTAGGAATTAATTACTTATAGTATTTTATTAATATATAAATCTAATATTTTTATTTTAAAACTAGTTTATTTATTTATTTCTAAAATATATAATTCTATTTTTCTAAAATTATAGCTTATATTTCTATTATATTTATAGGCTACTTTTAGTAATAATAAAATAATTATTTTATTTTTCTTTAGTATTTTTTAATAGAATTTATATTAGGATTTATAAAAAAATAAAATAAAAAATAATTCTATAAACTATATATTATTATTAATAATAGTTATCTATAAACTTATAATTATAAGCTATATTATTATTAATAATAGTTATATATAAACTTATAATTATAAGCTATATTATTATTTTTTATAAATAAGAGTTTTATTACTAGATATAATTAGTAAGAAATAAGTATAAAAGCTTTAAAAAT